GGATATATTATGTAATCAAACAGTGGTATAAATAACATGATCATTATGGGATTGACTATTTGTATTTGGTCAGGTTTAATCTGGATACTGCCCAGTTTACCATCCATTTTAGTTGCTTGCAGTGTCCAACGGGAAGCCTATGTTATTAAAAATTTATGTTATTATTAATTATAAATACTATTATCCATAGTAATAACATTGGACTAACCTGTTGGTTGTAAAGTGCCCAAAATATTGGTAGAGGTACATACAATAACAACACTCTCATTACAGCCTTAAAGTCTGTTATGGTTTGAGCCTTAAAATAAATAATTAATTACTCAGAGTGGTTTTTTAAAACTGGGGTAATTATATTAACATACATCGTATTTGTCGTCGGCGTAGTCCAACCAATGGTCACGTTTTTGGCCTTTTTTGAAAAACTTTCTGCCCAACGATGTCTATTTATTTATATAAAATAATGTTATTTAATAATATTCATAAATCCATTAAAATAAAATAAAATAAGTCTAAAGTAATAAATAAAATTTTATACAATTATAATTATTATCAATAATTATTAAACCATATAATTACTTACAAAAATGCATTTAAAAAATTGGGCAACCACACTTTCTTTTTGCGGCGGTACCATGACGTAATTAGTCAAATACCGACCGGAAACAAAAATGACCAGGGACACAATCATTAACACCGCGGGTACACCAAAGGCCAACGGGAAACACGAGTCACGACCGAAACAATGGACGTCTTCGTGCATAATAGGGGTCACAAATGTAGACAATAGCCCCCCGGCGTTGATAGCCATGTAGAAAAATGAAAAGAACTTGGCCAATTGTTTTTCCTGACCAGGGCCAAATTGATCACCGCCAAATGCTGAAACACTTTGTAAAAATGTAATTTATATCATCATTAAATATAAAAATATGCCGTATTTAGGATTAGTATTAGTCTATAAAAAATGTTGCTAGCACTATTGCTTTGCGTACAACTTTGTAACCAAGTTTGACTATTTGTTTTGTTATAGTTTGAATATTGCAGCATGCAGCTTTATATATTTTAACTTTTAATATTACTAATGAAATTTGAATTTATTTAATGTTTATGCCAAAAATAGCTTACCATGGTTTAATGCCTCCCGTACCCACCGCGATCGAAATTAAACCAATCCACATGATCCAGCTAATTTTACATGAATAACATTAATTAATTAACTGTTTATAATCTTTTTATTATAAATATAAAACATGTTATTCAAAAAATAAAGTTGAAATATATGCTACATTAAATTACCTTTTCTCAGCTACGGCCGAATATGACAACACAATACAACCGATTGCATAAACTAATGATAATGAAAATATTGTGCTATTAAAATAGAATAAACAAGATTATTACATTAGGTTTGTAATGCTAAAATGTGGTAAACATGTTTTCTTTACTTACATGTATTTTCCGAGATATGCATCAGCTATGATGGCGCCAAAAATCGGAGTAAAATACGCAGCCATTGAAAATAAATGAAAGTATTCGGTGGACACGTCCTCATTATAGCCAATAATTTGCGTAAAAAATATGACCAAGATGGCTATATCATATTTAATTGTAATTAATTTAGTTAATTCAATCGCTCAATAAATACATATTTAATATTTATGAATTTCATTTTTAATAAATATTTATTAATTATGTATTAATAACTATAAATTTTTTTATATAAACTGGTAAATCTATAATTTGCAAATATTTTGCTACTGTGATAATAAATATCTATAATAATTTTAAATAATCATAAAAATTCGCATAAAATATTCTTAATCAATAAATTAATTGAATTAATAAAATTAATTGAAATTATTTCGCATACCTCGCATGCCAAAATATGAGAATCGTTCGCAGAATTCATTGACAATAATGAAAGGCACAGATCGGGGGTATTTTTTCTTAGGTTCAGGCGATTGCTCTTCATTGCCGTAGCCGTCCTGCGCCGGGTCTGACTTCTAGTTAATAAATAATAATTTAATTAAAATATTAAGTTTAATAAAAGAAATTAATATTTGTTTAATGTAATTATTAGCGAAGAAAAAATAGAAATTTATTCTCACCATAATTATTTTATAATATAACAATTATTATGAAATTAATTAATTAACATTTACAAATAAAAGGTAAATTACAAAATAAACTATTTCTATTGTTATACATAATATATATTTATTTTATCAATAACTATCTTATAAACAATTTCATTATTAGCGGATTTACAGCTAAACAAATCAAATCTTGATAATTACTGTCACCTCACAGAAGGTTTAATTATTTATTATTTATACAAGAATTAATTATAACATTATACAATAAAATAAACATTATCATGTGAATTTACCCTTATTTACAGAGTGCAAAGCAAAAATGAACTTATAAAAAATAGATTGCTATACTATGTTACCTAAAGTATACCGTATATAAAGTATAATGTATACTTTACTACAGTATAATGTCAAAACGTTTATTACAGTGTCCTGTTGTCCCTATAATAGGACAAAAATAATGAACTCTAAAATAAATAACAATTTATGATAACAATATACTATAACATCTAGTTTATGCACCAGTTTATGTCACATGTGTGATCTTGTTATAAATAACATAATATTTTAGGGACTAAAGTCCTTATAATATTAATTATTATTGTCTAATCAATAGATCAATGATTGTCAATTGTCTTATGCTTAACACGTTTATATTGCACATATAGAATAGAATAATGTACTCGTGCTAAAAATGTATTCAATGTTTATTATACAACTTGAGAATGTGTAAATCATGGGACAATTAATTAACTCATATAAACACTAAAGCCACTATTTCTATGAAGGAATTTTAATATTTGTGTACTTTTTATTTAATAATAAATTATTTATATATAATTATTATGATGTAAAATAGACTTTTGTTCAAAATTAAAAAATAAATATGATAAAAAATTTTGATTAGTAAAAATACAAATTATATAAAAAATAATATTAAATTGCAAACGACCTGTTAGTTTATCCAGACTTCATATATTACTAGTTATTGGTTTAATAACAAAAACATATTTACAATTATAAAATATACAGTAAGTATTTTATCAATTGTTTTACATTACTGTTGTATTAATTGGTTGACAGCGATGTCCGCATCACTCGATTCACGCATTGTTTCACAAGAATTTGAAAATACTTGTAATTTGCGTAAATTGTAAGTTTAAATTTACAATTATTACAAATAATTTTTGTTAGAAATGACATTTTTCTAATTAAATAAATGTTTTTTGTAATTGAATAAGCATGTTTTTAAAAAACGTAATCATTCATTAAAAAATATTCTAAAAGTTATATCATAATAATTAATTAACTAACATATTT